AATAATGAAACTTGAATTTTTAAAAAGCACATCTTAAGTTATTTGCTGTTTCAATGGCAATTCTTTTCATACTGAATATATTATATTGTTATAAATTCTTTAACTAATATTTCCCCCCAAACACAAGCATCTGGAAGGTGAATCACAGCAACAAGACAGTAGCTGTTTAAGACCAGACAAATTATAGCTTTCAAAACAAATACCAGAGCAGAGACGAAGGAGGAAAATATTCAAATTGCACAGCAGCAACTTTGACTTCTATTTAGAATCACAAAAAAAAGAAACTTGTTCTTATCCTCAAAAACCAATCTACTTCCTGACTTAACTAAGAAGAACTTAACAAATTTCAATAAAATCATACCAAGACTATGGAATTTTCTCTGTGATACAGCTCTCCCTTTTTTTTTTACAAGGTCCAGATTTTTATAATGGTACCGCTAATAAAGCTGTGCACCTGGAGATACACAAACGCCCACTAGCACCATCTTTACATGGATTTCAGAGCATGACCAGAAAGCAACCTAGGGTTAATTAAAAATGAAGAAATTGGTCTTTCTTTCTTTTCTTCTTTCTCACACTTAAAGGATATCTGTCACACGTTAAGACCAAACTGGGCAGCAACATACAGCTTTGAAGCTGAGGAGCTCCAATGACGAGTAATTCTTAAATCCAAAAAAAGTGCAGCTAGTATAGCCACGTATAGAAGCTCGGCAGATTTGCTTGGTTCGCAGTAAACTCTGACGATCTACAATTTTTAAAACTACAAAGTCAGTTAAAACAGAGATACACACTTTATTTTTCCTTTAAAAATGTTATACACACTTTATTTTGCCTCTACTGCTTGATTCTGTTCAATGTTTACATCAATATGAAGCTTTATTTCTAATCAAAACATTTGCTGACCCACATTCCCTTGGGGAATAATACCAAACCACTTCCAGAGAGGAAAAAAAAAAAAGCATTTTTCTTTCTATTTTTAAGCACATTGCACACTACAGACCACACATCTATGCTTGGTAGCCCTACCACCAATCTCTCTTCAGTGATACTGTATTTTAAACCACATATATACTGCAGATTAGACAGTGTTTCATCTGTTGCTTATACTCTTCAGCTAGCAGTCAGAAGTATTCTGCAGCATCAGAAAGCTGCTGGGTGTAATGAGCCCCTGAACGTCATCCCTCAAATCTGTCGCTAACGCTAGACCAGGTCAGCCCTAGCTTTTCTTAGCTGAAGCTCGAAAACATCCAAGGGTGGGCACCTATTAACACCCTGTGTAACCTGCTCCAAAGTACTGCATCACCTTCTCAACGAAGGCTTTTTTTCCTTAGTGTCTAATCTGAACGGCCCAAGCTGCAACCTGATGTCACTCTCCCCCATCATACCAACAGCCACTATCAAGAATAGCTCAGCTCCCTCACCTCTGTACCTCCTCTTTGACAGTCTATTTACACATACGTGGTGAGAACAAATGTTTAAAATAAGCAGTCGTAATCAAAATAAGAAAATGCAGTAATAATTCTACACATGGAAAAATACTCTGTTCATTACACAAAGGAAAAAATCCTAACGTGACAGATCTTGGGAAAAAAAATTTTTACTCTGCACTTGAATGAAGTGAGAGGCGAACCAAATCCTATTTATGCAGACAATCATAAGAGAATTGTACCAAATGTAAGTTAACTCAAAAACCACTGCGCCATTCAGAAAAGGCACCTCTAGAACTCCTTTTTAAAGAATACCTCTCACCTCCTAGCCATTTCCAATTCTCAGGGTAGAAACCAATGCTGAGAAGACAAAGCATAGTGGGAAAAGGAAAGGAAGGGAGATGGCCATATGCACAGTAGCAAGAGTCAGTGGAAATGTAAAGCAAGGAAAAATAAAAGAAAACGCTTTACCTGGGATACGGCAACAGCATTTGACAAAACCGAAAAAGAAGACAGTTTCCCGCAGGTGCTGTGTTCTAAAAGTTAACTCAGTCTTCAAGGAAAACCTACAAACACCTCTGAACTTGTCCTACTGTGCAGCAGCAAATGGATGGATGTTTATCTCAAGTAAGACCTCCTTGAGACCGACAGTGCAGTAGATGGCTGTGGGGAAGGAAACGTTCTGAAACCTTGCAGACGCGGTACAAGAGTGCCACCTGCCGCCAGCAGGAACCCGGAGCTAAAGCAGCCCCGCTCCCCCGCACCACCGGGAACACAAAAAGCCCCCGCGCGGCGCCGGGCGGTCCCGGCTCAGACTGGCCGCGGCTCCCGCTCCCGCCC